ACTTTACTATTTAACATTGCCTTGATTTTTATTCATTTATTCATTCATTTAACAAATGCACACTCATTCATTCATTGAACAAATGCATTTTGCTAAAAAATGCATTTGCTTTATTTGCCTTAAAACAAATATGAGAATAAGGTAAGTCACACAAATGTTTGAGTTTCACAGTGCATATGAAGTTTATCCTTACACTATGTGGTAGTATACTATTGTGCAATTGCATTACATCTAAAAATACCTTACTGCTTACCTTAAAAATACCTTACTGCTTAAAAATACTGCATACCTTTAAAATACCTTACTGCTAAAAACAATTGGGATAAGAAAAAACTGAAAATATTAGAAATACAAACAGGTTAAAAAAATAAATATGTACTTAGAATGAGAAAGGAAACTGAATTACTAATTTTTAAAAGATGACCTCACAAAATCTTGAAGGATGATATTGCTAATAATTAACTGTCTCACATACTTTTTCAGTACTTTTTGGTTTATAGCCTTAAATTGTCTCTTCATATGACAGCTATATACCATTATCACTTTCCATATAGACAACAGAAAGATAACTATTTTTATGGCAGTTTTAACAGAACTTTTTAGATATTGATGGCTGTAATACAGAATGTATACAACTTTACGTAGAGACTTTCATGGTATATATAACTTACAAACCCAAGTATTCTGGCTAGTTATATTTTCCATGATTCCCATACAAAATAAAACACGTATGGAACATTTATAATTATATAGGCCCAATTCAATATATTCTTGCCGGTGGAGCATTTGTTTTGATGAGGTATCAATGACAGTTGAATTCGACATGTGAAATTTTGCATATCTGATGATTATGAAATGAACTTTTGACTAGCTTCTGTCTTTTCTACCACCCATGTATTTCTGGTGCTGGCCATTGTCGGTCATGTTTACATTGCATCGTGTCATTTTGTCTTGTTCCTTCATGTCACCATGCTTGGTGAATTAGAGCTATGGGTGGAAGGAGTACTCCTAGAAGACATTCCTACACCAGGAGAGCTAGCAATAATGTATCTCTACATGAAAGTGCTACAAACCATACAAACATATTCTGCATGCAAAGTATGTGAATCGCTAAGTCAGTTTCTTCTTAGATGGCCAAAATGCATGTAAATCCCCCAAAGCTAACATGAGAGGAAGTCAGAGTACAAAAAGATAGGATTTAGCTCGTTGCAATTAAAACATCTTTTAACATTTTTATAAAACTGTATAACTATTGTCATGCACTCCCGGGGCCTCTCCTGGGGCCTTCAAAGCCTAGGGCCTACCCAAGTGAAGAATTAAAATTTTAACTTCATTTCCCTGGACAGTAACTTTGTTCCAGGAAGGAATAAGAAGAATTATAGATTGGAGATTGTCATTCCTCTTTTGTTTTTATCTTTCAACCTGTTTTAATTTTTGATTAGAAAACGGAATGTACTCAGCATATCTAAATTTCCCTTTCCATGCAGGATTCTTTATAACAGATGTATCCATTATCATACGTTTGCATGGCAAGGCTTCCTATTATAATTATGTGTAGAAAATTGCTCATCCCCTTCGCTGTTTCTTTCTTATCTATTTTAATGAGTTGGAGACTGGAGTTTTTTACTTCATGTGACTCATTAAAGGGGGTGTGGTGATGACATGGAATAAGCCACTATACCATTCAACAGAAGATCCAAGCTGTAATCCCTATTCAGCTTCTAATTTGCTGTGTGACTTGAAAGCGAGCTACTTCTTCCTGGTCTTGAGTTTCATAGCTGGTCAATTTTGTGTTGAACAAAATTAGTAGTTTCAAGGAGCAAAGGATTCTGCAGAGATGCCATATGGGTAGCCAGACCCTGCTTTAAGCAGAGGAATTCTGCTTTTTTTGCTATTTTACACACTAGAATTTTTTTCAAGACTTTGTCTTACAATGATTACCCTATGAAAAAAAAATAGTGAAAGCCATTTTTTAGATGTTTTCCCAAATATATAGAATCACCTGGGAGATTTTTCATAATGTTTATTCTAATCATGGAGCTCAAAATTTGTACCGTATTTGTTCAGTTTCTTTTGTGTTTCGATGCGTAATTAGGGTTGAGTGACATTATTCTAGACCAATGGCATGCAATCCTGTCTGCTCTGAGAATTATCTGGGGAGCTTTAATAAATACTGATGCCTGGGTGCTACCTCTGTGATTGTTACTTACTTATCCTGTGAACAAATGTGTGTTTTTTTTTTCTTTTTTTACTTTTTATTTATTTATTTTGACAGAGTCTTCACTCTGTTGCCCAGGCTGGAGAGCAGTGGTGTGATCTTGGCTCACTGCCTTCTGTGTTCAAGGAATTCTGCTGCCTCAGCCCCCCATGTAGCTGAAATTATAGGTACCTGCCACCATGCCTGGCTAATTATTGTATTTTTAGTAGACAAGGTTTCACCATATTGGCCAGGCTGGTCTCGAACTCCTAATCTCAAGTGATCTGCCCACCTCAGCCTCCCAAAGTTCTGGGTTTACTGGTGTGAGCCACTGCACTTTGGGAGTACAGATGTTTTTAACAGCACCACCAGTAATTCTGATGTGCATCCAGGGCTGAGAACCCTTAGTCAAGATAACCACTGCATTCTGCCAAGTTCTAACAGTATGTGTATGAAAACAACAAATCACAAGCATGCTATCTATGCCTCCACCCTCTTATAAACATTTATTGAACACGTCATTTCCATTTTATAGCTATGTTTATGTAATGACACCATTGATTGGGGTGAATGACGGAAAAGGCAACTGGTGTAGTGGCAATATCACTAGCTTCTGCACACTGATTTATAAAGAGTTTCTTACTATTGATCTTGCCTATGAGAATCCTAGATTATCGTTCAAGACCATACCCTGCCACAAACCCCATAGCCCTGCACAAACAGGTTAACTTCTCTAATTCTAATTTGGCTCATTCATAATTAGTTGATTAATATCAAATGAAATTGCAGATGTGATTCTAAGATTGTGTGATCCTTTTCTTTAATTCACAGAATATGATTTGATGGAAAATAAAAACCTAATTTCTTTCAGGCTTATAAAACATTCTTTTCACTTTTATTTGATCTTCATGTTTAAAAAGGCCAGCGATTGATGACTTTGTTGTGTTCTCATCTTCTTATAACACATTCGTGATCTGCAGAGGAGTTATCAGAAACTGAGATTTAAAACTGAGATCCTCTTACAGCATAAAGCTCAGTGCCTGGCTAGGAACCCAGTGCTTTGGGAGCCTGAGGTGAAAATGTGCATGCATACAAACCAGAACTTGCCCGTGGTATTTAGCTTGAACCTTTATGTACCCCCAGACAGCAGCAAAGCTAGTAGCAGATGGAAAATCATTCATTGTGTCATCATTTATGCATTCTGTTTTCCATTCATTCATTCCACACGCACATTCCAACATATACTCATATTAGGTACTGATTTCAGCTCCAAGGTATGTGTTTGGGATGAGACAGATGCCATGTAGGCCTTCATGGAGCATTTTAGTTAGCCATAAGGAAGAATTCACTCAGTTTTTCAAATGGAATTCCACTGATGCCTAACGGCCATCAGTTCTCTAGGGGATTTTTAGATTGTATATGTTCATTTTAATGATTATCTAAAAATCATAATCATATTCTGAACCATTGGGAAGATAGCCTAATAACCGAGGATGTGATTTTAGTGCCTGAGTTTTGGTGTTTCATTATGGTCACTTTGGTAGCACATGTTAGTAATTTAATTGCTATTGACCAAAAAGAAAATAAATGGAGTAGGTCTTATTTGTAGGGAATGCAGCGTGTCTATATGATGGCCAAATGAAGTGAAAATAGGGACCGTACCATTATCTGAATTCAGCTGGGCAATGGGGGTTCTGTGTCACATGGCTATGGCGAAGTAGAGATGCTGTGCTCAGGAGCCACTGCACCAGAGCCCTTGGTATCACATTCATGAGATTTCGTTTAAGGCAAATCATCGTCCTTTGCAGTACTTTGTTATTTTCCAGTTTGAGTGATAGGCATTTTCTAGCTTTTTTTAATTTTAAAATTTGTTTTGGTTTTAGAATTGTATAGAGGTGATATATTTATCTAGATTTGTGTTGGCACTTAATAAGTAATTTTAGTATAAAGATAATTTGTGTCAACAGCAGGGACTTGGAAAACCTTCCTTATTTTAAAGGGCATAAACATATTACTTTATAATATACTGACAAATATTTTTCTGATTTTTCTCACTCTACTGTGCTTAGCATGTAACTAGCTCTTCCTCTCATTAGTCTACGAGCTAATGTTCACATTTTACTTGACTTTGACCCTCCTTTATGTTTCTTGAATAAGTTGGATGAGAACATTCAACTCACAAAGACTAACTCAGGGGCCGTTAGGTATTTACTACACTATCGCTTGATGAAGATTCCCAAATCAAGTGGGATTTCAGCTGTGTGTCTGCAAGGAGTCCTTTTAAATCTGAAATAGAGGAGTGGTCAAAGCTGCCACTCTTGCCACTGACTGGCAATACAGAATGATTTTGTTTGACATTTTTAACCCCCCAAATAAATTGCCTGAATAATATTTTTATCTCACTAAGGTGAACTGCTGGGGTTAACTTACTTTCTTCAGTAATTCAAAATTTTTCCTTCAGTTTGATGGGTCTTTGAGCATCTCCCCCACAAAGATGTTGGAATTCTGAGTCACTTGGAAAATGGCCTCCCAGGAGTCACTTTCCTCCCAGTATGTTTGTGGCTGTGGCTGTGGCTGTCTCAGTGCACATCAGAAGTGATGGCTGTGTCATATGAGAGGGCTCAAGCAAGCATCCAGAGAAGCCACTTTTGTCAGGAGGAAACAGATTTTTAGAGTTGTTGGAGGTTGTAAATGTAAAGACAGCAGCCAGCCATATCTCTTCATCAGTTGATTTTTTCCCCCTCTATTTTTTTCCTCTTCTCTCAGCAGTTTAATGTGAGTGCTTCTATCTTGTTTATTTCAGATGCCTCAGGAACAGTACACTCACCACCGGAGCACCATGCCTGGCTCCGAGGGGCCACAGGTATACAAGGTGGGGATTTACGGCTGGCGGAAACGATGCCTGTATTTCTTTGTCCTGCTCCTCATGATTTTAATACTGGTGAACTTGGCCATGACCATCTGGATTCTCAAAGTCATGAACTTCACAATTGTAAGTAAAACCACCTAGATTTGTTTAGCTCTCTTTGCGGAAGGGAAACTTGGGGCAAGATGATGAAGTGGAAAAGCGATGTCATTACAGCAGAACTCAAAAGATCTGTAACCTCCTCGTATTTGGTGAAAGACCATTTCTGTTCAGATTGAATATGGATATTGACATCTATCTCATCTTAACTCTCCAAGGGCTGGTAATCCAGCTTAAAGATATTTCCCTCCTTTAGAATCTCCTGTATATTATCCCTCCATTTTGGTAACTGTTTCTGTAGCCTGTAGCTTTCAAGCACTTTGATTAAATAATGAAGGCAGAAATAGAGAATAAACTCAAAGTATTAAGTTTTCGCCAATTGTAGTGATTACAAAAGGTTTGATGAAGTAGAGAGCTGAAACATTTGCATAAAATTAGACTATGGGCATTACATATCTAAAAATTTTAACTATTTATGCTTGATTATCCATCACTCTGATAAGAATATCGTCCGTTTTTCAGAGGATGATTCTCTTTGCCACTGGTCTGGGTAAGATGGAAATGAGAGGAATGTAGCTGTGTTTTATTTTTTTTAAGAATTTATGTTTCTCCGATGAAATTCCTGCTCTTGGTGTTTGGGGTCCCTGTACACACTGGGCATTTACTATTGAATTTCAAATGAAAGAAAATCCTGGAAAAATGACTTTTGGAGTTCTTCTGAGGTTTTATACTTAGAAATTCTGATCTATGCTAGCAATATAAGTAGTCTACCTCATTAATGAGGAAATAATGGGCGGCAATCTGCTATGCTGAAGAGAATTTCCTTTCTTGTTCTGCTGTCAAAAGTAAATAATATAGATTGGCAATAAAAATAATTCCTAGGTCAGGCGCATTGGCTCATGCCTAAATTCTAGCACTTTGGGAGGCTGAGTCGGGAGGATCACTTGAGCCCAGGAGTTCAAGATCAGCCTGGGAAACATAGCAAGACCTATCTCTGCAACCAAACAAACAAATAAACAAAAACCAAAACCCTTTTGTTTGATAAATAAATATGACCTTAACAAAGTAACAGTCAAGTTTTCATGTGACAGTCCTAAATGTCATAGTGGATATTTGCATTTTCTAAATTACAAAGTTCATTTTTATCCTTGACACCCTATGCATAGTCACACTTTCTTGCCTTTATTCATACATTTTCTTCTGTGTGGAGTGCTTTGCTCCCTTCCCTGTCTGGTACAACTTGTCTTGATGCTCCTGTAGTTCCATTCGTGTATTTTTTATTATATTTACCACTCAGATAATTTTTATATGTATTTCCCAGACAAACTGAACTTTCAGAAAGGCAAAGGCTGCGTGTTTTCTGTGTGTGGCTTTGTCCATCACTCATGTTAGGGGTTCTTGGTGCTTGACTTAATTAGGACTCTATAAACCAAAGTTATAGATACTGCTTCAGGCATCAGAATGGCTCACTTTTTAATATTTGTGGTTAAAGCTAGGAAGCTATAAAATCAAAAATGTTACCTTGATGTTACAGATTTCTACCTTGAGGGGAGAAAATAATTCAGTTCTTTTTAAACGTTGTTTTTTTTTTTTATGTATTTATTTACAGGAAGGGTCTCACTTTCTCATGGAGGCTGGAGGGCAGTGTTGTGATCATAGCTCACTACACATGGACTCCTGGTCTCGAGTGATTGTCCCGTCTCAGTCTCCCAAGTAGTTAGGACTACAAACACACACCACAATGCTTGACTGATTTTTAAATTGTTTATAGAGATGGGGGTCTCACTGTATGGCCCATTCTGCTCTCAAACTTCTGGCTTCAAGCAGTTCTCTTACCTCAGCCTCTGAAAGTGCTGGGATTACAAGCATGACCCATCGTATCCAGCTAAGAGTTCAGTTCTTTTAAAAAATACAGAATAATTTGTATATTGCTGTAGTAACTTTGGAAGGCTATATGGTGAGTTTCCATGGGGTTATAGGCATCCAAGCTAATAGTTCTAGAGTATTAGAGCACATTAGCTTCTGTTTCTGGATCAGACTCAATCAGTACTTTTCAACTTGGACTTTACTTCCTTTAAATACAAGCAGAATTCAGAGAAATGTTTAAGCAGGAGAGAAAGATGTAACTAGGTTTACATTATAGAGAGCTTGCGTAGGTGAGGAAGCAGTAGAATGCGGAACGTTGGTTAGAGCTGAGGGCTCTGGAGAATGCCCTGGGTCCATTCAGCCTTAAGTCCCGGGGACCACAATTGCCATCTGTTGATGTGTGTGTGATGTTCTTAATTTGTATTTCAAAAACTTGTAAATTAGGAAAACTTCTCTGTTGCAATATTAAACAGCAGAATACAAAAGCTAGGGAAGTAGCATGGACAGTAAAGTTTAAAAATACGTTTAAAAGATGAAATTGATATACCTTGACTTCTGGTCAGATGTAGGGTTGAGGGATAAAAAGACATTTTGGAAGATTTCCGCTCTTAGGGTAGTGAGATGGCTGGGTGGTGGGGCCTAAAAAGCAAGGTACAGTTTACGACTTTTCCACTGGAACTTGGCTAGTACTCATGTATACCCCTAATCCCCTATGTGAAGCTACCTCTTAATGCCTTATTTTTGTGATTTTTACCAAGGCTGTCATGAATTTAATTTATAGAACCTGTAAGATTTAGGGGTAGAGGAAGTGGAAAATATGAGCTGAAACTTCGATGACTGTGATACTATACAAATATGGCTTCTAGACAGTGCTTTATCTGGAAAGCTTAATAGAAGTGTATGTAAATGTATATTGAGCACCACTTATATGACATTAAGGTAATAATCTATATGAAATCGGCTCTTTCATGTAGTTAACTAAATTGATTGCTGAAGTTGAGAGTCCTTAAAGCTTTACCAAACCAAGTACTTACTGAGGTAAGAATAATGCCTCTATTAGCCATAATTGGTGCTTTATAGCCGTAATGTATTTGAGCAAATGGAACTGAAGCGTTAGAAAATTGGTCTTGCCCTGCAAGTTAAAAGCGTATTTTCCATCAATCACTGTATAAAGGATATTCTTTTAGAATTATAATTCTCTTTCACAAATAATAATTTACCAACAATGATGATCTTGGGGAAAGAATGAGGTATTAAGCAATGTTATATTGAAGAAACAGCACACAAAAAAAAAAGTCAGTGAGATAGCAGTAAACTAGTTTATGCAGAGATTTGAAAATATAAGTAGGGAAAGTCCTAGCCAGAGCAATCAGAAAAGGGAAAGAAATAAAGGGCATGCAAATTGGAAAGGAGGAAGTCAGACTGACTGTTTTCTGATTATATGAGTGTATACCCAGAAAACTATAAAGACTCCTCGATCTGATAAATACAATTCAGTAAAGTCTCAGCTTACAAAATCAATGACACAAATTAGCAGCACTGCTATAGACCAACAGTGACCAAGCTGAGAATCAAATCAAGCACTCAATCTCTTTATAGTAGCTACAAAAATGTAAAATATCTAGGAATATACTTAAGCAAGGAGGTAAAAGATCTCTTCAAGGAGCAAAACAAAATACTGCTGAAAGAAACCATAGAAGACACAAACAAGTGGAAAACCATCCCATGCTCATGTTATTGAAACTCAACATCATGAAAATGATCATACTGCCCAAAGCAATCTGCAGCGTCAGTGTACTTCCTATCACAATACCAACATTATTTTTCACAGAACTATAAAAAACATTCCCAAAAGTCTATGGAACCAAAAAAGAGCCCAATGGCCAAACCAATTCTAAGCAAAAAGGACAAATCTGAAGGCATCACATTACCTGACTTCAAATTATACTGCAAGGCTATAGTAATCAAAACAGCAAAATACTGGTATAAAAGTAAACACAAAAACCACTGGAACAGAAGAGAGAACCTAGAAATAAAGTCTTATATTCAAAATCAACTGATCTTTTACAAAGCATGCAAAAACGTGAATTGGAGAAATCTAATAAATGATGCTAGGAAAATGGGGTAGCCACACGTAGAAGAATGAAACTGGATCCCTTCCTCTCACTGTGTTGAAAAATTAACTCAATACGGATGAAAGACTTAAAGACCTGAATAATTCTAGAACATAAAAAATTCTAGAAAAAAAAATCTGGGAAAAGCACTTCTGGATATTGACCAAAGAATTTATGACTAAGACCCCAAAAACAAATGCAACAAAACCAAAAATAAATGGAATCTAATTAAACTAAAAAGCTTCTGCACAGTAAAATAAATAATAATCAGAATCAACAGACAACCTATAGAGTGAGAGAAAATATTTCTAAATTATGTATCTCATGAAAGGACTAATATTCAGAATAACAAGGAGCTCTAAGCTAGAAAAAAAACAATTTCATTAAAAAGTGGGTAAATGGCATGAATAGACATCTCAGAATATTTGATAAATAGCCAATAAACATATGAAAAAATGGGCACCATCACTAATCATCAGGGAAATGCAAATTAAAATCACAATGAGATACCACCTTACCCCAGCCAGAATGGGGTAAAGTAAAAAAAAGTACTAAAAAGTAAAAAAAAAAAAAAAAAGAAAGAAAGAAAAAATAGATGTTGGTGTGGATGTAGTGAAGAAGGAATGTTTATACTGCTGATGGAAATGTAAATTAATACAATCTCTATAGAAAACAGTTTGGAGATTTTTTCAAAGACATAAAACTAGACCTACCATTTGGTCCCATAAGCTCACTGCTGGGTAGCTACCCGAAGGAAAATAAATCATTATATCAAAAGGAGACCTGTATATGTGTATTTTTTGCAGCACAATTCACAACTGCAAAGATATAGAACCAACCTAAGTTCCCATCAACAGATGAGTAGATAAGGAAAATGTGATATACATACGCCATCATCAGCCATAAAAAAGAATGAAATAATGGCTTTTGCAGCAAGTTGTATGGAACCACAGGCCACTTTTCTAAGTGAAGTAACTCAAAAATCAAAAATATTAATATCACATGTTCTTATGAAAAAGTAGGAGCTAAGCTAAGGGTATGCACAGG